TGTTATTCTCTTAAACATTTGCAGCTCAAAACAGTTGAGGAAGCAGCTTAAAAAAAAAAAAAAATCTCCCTACCCCCATCAATCCACAACCCCCAAATTCAAAAACAAAACAAAAACAAACCTAAAATCACAACACGACCGTGCTTCTCCCTCCAGCAGGCCCGCCCATCCACCATCAAGCCCACCCCTACACTCCAGACATTTGATTCTTGAAAATAGTAATTACAAAATGCCCTTTGCCCACAGCCCCTAGGAGAGAACTGCATATAAGCTTCATCTTCATCCCCATGGCTCCCTACCAGAGAGGGATGTGGGGCCTCACCCACCCCCTACCTACCCCTGCCACCAGGAAGAGGTTCAACTGCAGCACAAGCTTGGGCAGAAGGGGGAGGGAGAAGGGAGGCAGGGGACCCATCACCCTCTGGCTCCCCCCTGGGGCCAGCTCACTTTTGTGCGTTATAACATAGTCCAACTATACAACAGGAGGTGGGAATTGCCCAGCCTCTGTACCCCCACCTTACAGCAGTCACAGCCAGGGGGTGGGGAGGAGGGGGTGAGGAAAAGGGTGGTAGGTTGGGTAATGGAGGGGGCCCCCCCACAAGGGGAGCTCCATGTGTCTGCCCCATGCCCCCCTACCATTTATAAACTGGTTTTGTAAAAAGAAAATAGATATATTTATATAGAATATATAAAGCACAAAAATTAGTAGTTTTACATTTGCTCTCCCCGGGGGTGGGGGGAGAGGGGAGGGTTCTCACCTCCAGCCGGCTCCCCCGTGCCCCACAAGACTATGTACAATCCCATGTATAAATAGATAAATACCCCCCACCCTCCCCGCGCTGACACTAAGCTCCCCCACCCCCACATCACCACCCCTTCCCACCAGACCAGCAGCAGTTTGGTGACTGAGGGAAAGTGGGAGCTCCGGGCCACACCCTGCCTCACTGGGTATGGGCATGCCTCAGGGACAGCCCTCACCCTACCCCCCAGCCGGCCCATCCAGGGGCTGGAAGGCAAATGGGCTCAAGATGGGGTTGAGCTAACAGGAGGGAGATAACCTGGTCCTAGGTTAGCACACCCCTCCCACCCCCATGTCCAGATGGAGAAGGAAGTCCTAGAGCAACTAGGGGCCAGTCATCCCCAATCTTCATCATCATCAGCCTCAACCACCATCCCATGCCCATAATTAAAAACAAAGATGGATTTTTTGTTGTTGTTTTTTTCTTCCTCCTCCTACCCCCCTTCCACCCACTCAGAAGAGGGCAGTGAGGTGGGGGAGAGGGTTGGGGCAGTGGGGGTCTTGGAGAGGGTCTCACATTTCGAAACAGCAAAAAATCCAACACTTAAATGAGGTAGGTGTGGGTGCGGGGTCTCCTTGCCCGGCTCGCCTGGCTTGCCCTCGTGGGCAGCTGGGCACCTCTTTCCCATTCATGTTGCATTTGTCAGAGTGGAAAACAAGGAAACACAACCCATAGAGAGACAGAAACACAGAGGAGAAGAGGGAGACAGAGACAGATTTGAGAGGGAAGGGGATGGGCGTGAGGGTGGGAGCAGGACCCGGCAGGCAGGGCCAGGTGTGGGACCCGGCCTTTGGGATTGTCAAGCTTAGTCAAGTCTCTTTGCAGCCTTGAGTTGGGCCGGAGAGGTCGGTGGGAGCAGAAGGGCTGTGAGGCCCGACCACACATCCTCCTCCCCTCTCCCTGCTGCCTCCCAGATGCTTCTGGGTAGTTCCCGGCCCATATCCCCCTCAAACCTGAGATGCCCAATGGCTGCTTCTGTCTGGCCCCTCCTGGAGCTGGGGGCAGAGATGCCAGCCTGGGGGCCGGTAGCAGGGAAGAGGGTTGTCCCTGGTGCCCAGGGTGGTCTTGGCCTAGGGCCCTCTGCCCCAGCCTCCTGCTCCAGGGGCTCCGGTCAGCCGGCAGCCCCAGACCTGGGTCCCGGCTCCGGCTGCTACCACTCTTCCCCCTCATCTCTTTCAGGGAAGAGGTTGGGGGTGGGAAGACTCCCCTGCCTGGTAGCCTCAAAGCTTCTTAGTTCATCCATTTCCGACAATTCCAGGCTCCACAGTGGCAGGGGATCTTGTGCTGATCGTCCTCAAAGTCAAACTGATAGTCATAGGTCAGCTGGAAAGAGAAGAGGGCAGAATCGATGCCAGCCCCCCAGAGAAAGGGGGGGTGAGCAGAGCTTAATCTGAGGACAGAGAAGGTGGGTAGGGAGTTGCCCTGTCACTCACTCAGGATGCTACCTCTCACCTCCTCTCCTTTAGGGATTCGCCGGCTGGAGATGATGATGATTTTGTCCTCCTTGTCAAATGTCACAACTTCTGCCACACAGTTAGGAGCACAGGAATGGTTAATGTACCTGGACAGTGGGACAGAGAGTTGGGACAATTTCGTTTCCTTGTTGGCCCACCCCTAGAGTGCCAGCCCCAGGGTCCCCTAAATCCTTCTTTCCTCATTCCTCTCTCACCTGGCAGGGCCTCCGGTCAATGTAGCATCGATCACATGTTCATTGTTTATCCGGAACATGTAGATACCTCGGTTCTAGAAAGGTATAGATTGCAGAAGAAGGGGCAAGATTATCAGAGAATAGCAGTAGCAGTGGTGGGATCAGTTCAGCAGATTCAAGCAGTAGGCTTATCTTGCATGTTCTTCATTTTGCTTGCCTCTCTCTGCCTCTTCCCACAGCTTTCCTCCTGCTCCCCTGGACCCAATCCTGCCCCTTGCTATTTGGCTGAGCCTGACCCATGTACCACACTGGCTCCTCTGCTAACCCATACCTGCTCTTCATAGATTTTCTCCCGCCGGTTGGCCACCTCATTGCGAATGATGGTGCCAATGTACTCGATGACCATTGTGTGCTTCTCTAGGTCCTTGGCTGCGTACAGCCCCAGGCCCTGGATACGGGAGCGAGCCAGATACACGTTGTTCTTCCACTCGGTGCGCAGCCGCCGGTACTGAGATGACTTGGAGTGCACAAACTGCTTGCTGTACGGGGTGTTGGTCTCGCCTGTGAAGGTGCTCTGATATGCCTTGGACATGCTGGTGCTGTTCAGGGTGTGGGGCCTGGGAAGTGATACAGTTCATGACAAGACAGCTCTCCCTCAGACCAAGCACACACCACCCACCTCCTCCCTGGGATGTGTGACACGCCAGTTAGGGGTGTGTGCTGCTAGCAAGCCATGGGAAGTGCTGCCTTGGAAATGGAGTGGAGGCATCTGGGTCTCTGCTTTGGTGAGGCAGCAACTAGCTACAGGGACCCCTCTAGCACCCTGGGGGGCACAGAGAGCCCAGATCAGGGTGGGCACAGAGGGAGAGGGAAGCACAATTCCCCTACACTGAGCCTGCTCTCCCACCTCCCTGCCTTCTACCACTTTCCTGCCAAACCACACTCAAGGCCATGCTCCTCTGGGAGGTCCTCCCCAAGCAGCCCAGGCCTGGAATTTAAGCTGATGGTTTGTTCAGTGTCTTAAGTCCTGCCTCCTGCTCATACTGGAAGCCCTAACAATAGGGGCCTGATTCGAATTAAAATTGGCTGTGCATTCACAGCCTAAAGTGGTATCCTTTCCTCTCTTCAGACTGTCCCTCCTCTGACATAACATCAGACTCTGTGCAGATGGCTCAGTGCAGGGGAATAACTGCTGCCTGGCGGGTGCCTTTTCACCACCCTAGGGCACTAGCCAAAGTCTTACCCATCCCAGAGCAGTGGTTTTCAAACATTTTGGGTTCTTTTCTTTTTTATTTAGTAGAAATCTTTGGAGTTTTTTTTAGACAAAATGTTGATTGGGATGACAACAAATAAACTAGATGAAAATGGAGCTCTTCAGGTTGAATTCAAATTGGGGAAAGGGGGTTGAGGAATGGGGAGGGCCAAGTTCTGCCCACTCAGTCTATGTGTTCCAGGGCTTTTTGGAACACATACACTCGCAGTTTGAAAACCACTGTTGTAAAGCATCAAGGACTAGGGCTGACTAGGGGCAGAGTCTCTGACATTCTACAGCAGCTCTCGGAGCAACTGAAGGCCTTCAAGAGAGCCCTGCTACCACGGACTCTGCCTCCCTCTACCCAGGGATCAAGGCCAGGCTACCGTGGAGCACAGAATGAACAGTGAGCCACAGTCAGGAGGCAAGGTTCTGGTCCCAGCTGCGTGACCTTGGTCTAGTCACTTAACCTTTCCGCGTCTCAGTTTTCTCAGCTGTAAAATGGGGGTCATACCACCTGCCCTACCTACCTCATAAGGTTGTTGTGAGGATCAAATGAGATAATGGATGTGAAAACGCTTTGAAAAAAAAAGTATAAAGTGCTATACAAATGTAAGGTTTTATTATTTTTCTAGCATACTTCTAATTATTTATTTTTTGATATCAATTCAACTCAGCCTGGGGAAGGGAAGGTAACCCTAGCACTCATGGGGCATCTGAGGTTTGGGAGAATCATAGGTCCCCCTAGAAGCAAAAGAGGAGAGGGAAGAGGTGACTGGGTCCCTTATACATTTCATAAAATTTGACCACTGTCTACACAGAACCTCCCCAACATCCATTCCCAGGGTACACAAGATAACTCTGTCCTAGACCCCAGGTCTCCCCAGTACACCTGAGTAGGGTAGGTGAGGAGGAAAGGGTTACCCCTGTGATACCTGTGTACCCTCTAATTAGGAGGCCTAAGAGTGAATCCCCAGTATCCCCAAGGAAACTCTGATCTGTACCCCAAACCCTCCTAATGTGGCCGGAGGGGCCTTACCAATGCCCACATCCCTTGGCCCCAGCCCCACAAGCTCACCGTTTGTAGTGTGTGAGGATTTTAGGCTCCGATCGGGCACAGCCAGTGGGGTTGATCATGAGTGGCAGCTCCATCAAGGGGTGGCGCCCATAGCGGAATAAATAGTTTTGACAGCTCTCCACCCCAGGCAGCTGTGGGCACAAGTTGTGCTCACCTTAGCCTGAGCTCTTTTAGGTCAGAGCCAAAGCTCCCAGTGCCCCCAGGCCCCTGCACCCAGTCCCTTCCTTACTGATTCAGCTATGCGAAGCACAGCGTGCACCGTCAGCCCGAAGAGCTCTTCGCCTTTCAGGTACTCAGGAAAGAGCCGTAGCATGTCAGCCTCTTTTCTCATGGCAGCCACAGGCTCGATGATGCGATTCCACACGGCTAAGAGGCCGGGAAAGAGAGTAGCCCTCAGAGGCAACTTCCACTCACTGACCTCTAGCTCTAAGCCCCAATCTTCACACCTCCCTGTCATGACGGTGGCTCTTCAGGACCCCAGCTTGGCCTCCCTCAACTGGCTAGAAGCTTCCAACCCTGGAGGAGCATCAGAGAAGCCTCGGTACATAGGAACACGAACGCAGGGCCCAGGAGACCATGCACAGGCCAGGTTCCTTGTTGCAAGCCAGCAGAACAGGCATGCTTTGGAGTTGGGAAGACTTGGGTTCAGGTTCCAGTACTGGCCATGGGACCTTGAGCCAAATAATCAGCCTCTAAGACTCAGGTTCTTTCTATTCATGCTGGGCATAATAACAGTACTTACTTCATATGGTTGGATGAATAAAATAACCTACATAAACACTTAGTTTAGTTTATGGCACATAATATATGCTCAATAAATGGTAACTGCTCTCATTGTTCTTTTTATCAGGAATACTAAAACTAAGATCAAAAGAATTTTGTCCAGGGAAAAGCAACAATAAGGAACTCCTGGTTAGGATCAAGTTGGGTGAATCAGACAATAGGGTCTCAGAACTGTATCCTTTAGTTCCACCAAGGATAGAAAAAGGAGCCAGGATATGTGAGGTTAGGCAAGGAAAATATTTCCAATTACAAGGGAATTTAAGGGGTCTTAAACCTATATGAATGGAGCACTGGTGGTGTAGTGGTTAAGAGCTGGGCTGCCAACCAAAAGGTCGGCAGTTCAAATCCACGCCGCTCCTAGGAAACTCTATGGGGCAGTTCTACTTTGTCCTATAGGGTCGCTATGAGACGGAATCGACTTGATGGCAACAGGTTTGTTTTTTAAGAGAGGCTGAGACGTCCCTGGGTGGCGCAAGCAGTTAAGCACTCAGCTGCTAACCAAAAGGTTGGCGGTTTGAGTCCACCCAGAGGCCTGGCGATCTATGTCCGAAAAATCAGCCATCTGAAAACACTATGGAGCACAGATCTACTCTAACACACATGGAGTTGCCATGAGTCAGAATTGAGCCAAGGCAACGGGCTTTTTTTTTTTTAAAGAGAAGCTTAAACACTTTCTCTGGGGATCTTCAAGAGGCCCCTGCCTGCCTGAGGTACAGGGAGAGGATCATCCACATGGAGGTTTTGGGGTGCTTATCAACATCATAAAGGTGACCCTGGGAGAAACTTGCCCAATTCCATATTCCCATTTCCAAGGCCAATGCTCACCCTGCGGGGAGGCGTCGGTGAAGACCAGGTCCTCCAGACCCTGCTCCGTGACTTTGATTATGAACTCTGGCCGCCCATTGTTCTCGCCGATCGAGCAACGGTAGCAGCAGCGGCGGTTGTTGGTGCGGAGGCTCCAGTAGATGCGTGTGGCCTCGTAGCCCACGGGATAGAGGGCGGTGGCACTATGGAAGTCAGCCATCTGGTGAGGGAGCAGCTGTCCAATGGCGTGGAACACAAGGCCCCCCACACGGAACATGTGCAGCCGCTCTCCCCGCTGGATGATGCTGGCGATTTGCTTCACCTCATCTCGCTCAATGTAGACCCGCCGGAAGACAGCAAAAGAACTCAGCTCCTGTTCGCAGGGCCCCTTAATCTTATGCATTGGGCATAGCATGGTCTTGTCCTTGAAGAACATGCACTTGGCGCGGATGGCACAGGCAAAATGGTAGACATTGGGGCAACGCATGCGATTGCAGCTGCTGGTGGCACCGGTGCGCTGGCACAGGGAGCACTTGGTTAGCAGTCCCCGGTGCAGAGCAACCTCCACATTCATCAGCGCCCCACCCTGGGTCTCATACACCTCCGTGGACCACAGGGCACAGTTGAGGTGTACCCACAGGTCCAGGTCCAGGTTCAGCAGGCGGGCGGGACCGTCGGTGGCCCCGTCGCCCTCCTCGTGGCAAAAGCAGCAGCGCCGCATGTCTCGAGGCACCTTGTCAGGTCGCAGGGCTGTGCCAAGCTGCTCCATAAACTCTGCCACTTCCCGCTCATCCTCCTGCTGCCCACTGCCCTTCTGGATGGTCAGTAGCAGCCGCAGCCGCTTCCAGCGCACCCCCTTCCACTTCTTGAGGCGAGGGGGGCGGGAATCCTCCCCTTCTTCAGGGGGCCGGGCTCGGGGCTTGGGCCGGGCTGACTCAGGGGAGGAGGCGAGAGGCAGAGGCGAGGGGACTGGTGGCTCAGCTGAGGGTTCGGCTGGAAGTTCAACCATGGGTTCAGCAGGTGGGCTGGCAGGAGAGGGTGCCAAGGGGGAGGGAGGTGGGGAGGGTTCTTCAGGAGGCGGGGCCGAGAGCTGTCGCACATCCAGATTGGAAACGTTGTAGGTGTAGCTGTGCTGGGTGGGTGGCTCTGGGGCAGGGCTCTCCTGTGGGAGGGTGCCCCGTGTTGTTAGTTCCAGTGCCTCACCTAGCTAGCTCCTCCCTTAGGCGAAAAGAACACTGGCCCTCTCCCCTCCTCCTGGCCCAGATTTCACTCTCCCTAAAGCCTCCTGGCTTCTCTGTCCAAGTCAGTACGTTTTTCCTAACACCCACACCCTTGTCTGGCCCAGACCCACCTGTTTCAGGAGGCTCAAGATGTCTAGCTGGCTCTTGAGGGTATAGCCAGGCAACACTGCATCAAACTGCTTCAGCCAATCAGGGCCAGCTTCTGGGCTCTTGCCTCCCAGACCCTTTTCTTTCCCACCTGCAGGAAGGAAGGGGTCAGAGCCTCCCACCAGAACTATTCCCCTCAAGCCCCAAGGGACTTTCCTGGCACACTCACCAGGGCCCTCAGCTTCCCTCTTCTTGGGCTCAGTGCCTGCCTGGGCAGGGCTCTCTGAGAAGAGCACTTCATACGAGTTAGGGATCTTCATGCTTAGCAACTCTGCCACTGCCACCATCACACCATTTAGATTCTACAAGGGCAGGGACAGAGATGGAGGGACATGTCAGCAGAGCGTCTGGCATAAGCACAACCCCCAGCCTGGTGGGGACAAGGACATCCAGAACACAACCTCCCGAGCGGTTGGTTATCCTGCCCCTGGGCCGCTCCCAGCCCATCTCATTTCCCAAACTGCTATGGGCATCAACGAGAGCTCTGCAGAAAGAGATCTATGTTGAATCAGTTTACGAAATGATGTTCGCTATATCCACAACTCGGAGAGTCACAACACGCATTAGCAAATTAAAGGACCTGAGAAGTCCTGCAGTAAGAAATCTGTTTGTTTGTTTTTTTTAAAAACTAGGTCTTCCATTTTCTCTGACCACAAAATCCTGTTAACATTTCAAAAAACAGCAGAGAGTTGCACCGAATGTAACAGGGGAAGTGCTGTCTTTTAGCATTTGTCACACTGTACACTCTACTCATTTGCTGACTTGTCTGTCTTTACCACTGGACTATAAGCTCCTTGAAGGCAGAGATCATGCTTCATTTACCCTAGTACCCGCAGCCTCTAGCCCAGGCTTTCACACGTAGCGGGTACTCAGTAGGAGTTTCTGGATGACCAAATGTTTGTTTTTAATCTAGACAAGCTCCAGGGAATGCCCTCTGACTAGGGTCTCCTTGGCCTTAGAGGCACCCCCAGAACAAACCTTGGCTGCAGCAGCAGAGACCGTCAGCATGACTGACACCTCACTTCCTTTGCCCTTTTCCCAAGTTGTGGCAGGCAGCTTTCCAGGGACCTCCAGGTCCAAGGCCCCATAAGGTTTGGTATCTGGGAAGACTGAATGTGAAAGAGAGACCTGTGTGAGGTCCAGTCGCCTTGTTCTCCCAGCCCTGGCTGCCCTAGCCCATGCCCAAAGCAACACCTACCTGGGATGCTGGCCCGAGGAATGATGGGGATGACAGGGGATAGGGCCCGGTCGTCCTGCTCCCACCGGCATGAGCCTAGCTGAGGGAAACGAGGTGCCTCCTCCCCCAGGATGCTCTCGGGGGATGAAGCTGGCACAATGCTGTCAGGAGAATCGCTATCCTCATCACTCTCCATCCTACGGGCCAAAATTTGACACCTGTTTCTACAGCTCTGTGGACTCCCCCTCCCAAATCTAGAGATCAGTAGATGTCATAGCCTCATTTGAAATCTGCCATTAGTCAGAAGAAAACTGAGGCAGCCCACCCTCTACCCCCCATTCCTTATCTCCATTTCCGGCCCCACCCCCACCTGACATCCTCAGTCTGATTGTGAGGGGGTGTAGGCAAGGCGGCCAGCAGGTCTAGACTTTTCACCTCTGAAGCATCTGAGGAGTGGAGAGGGAGAAGGAAAGTCAGGGTGAGGGTGACCAGAGCCGATGGTACTTTCTCGTCTACATTTCAGGCCTAACTAGCATGAGACCTTAGGTTAGCTATCATAACCACTCTCTACCCATCCACCCACTCCCAGTCTGGGGCAGACAAGTTGTATTTACCGAGCTTTCTCTATGTGCCAGGCCCTGGGCTTTAGATACCCCTTTGTTTATTAATCTTTTAACAACTCTATTAAGCATTATAATACCCATTTTATAGTGAGAAAATGAAGGCTCAGGCAAGTCAATCAAGTTGTCTGACTATAGTAACATAGCTAAATAAATAAATGCAGGAGCCAGAATTCAAATCCAGATCTGACTTAGCTCCATACCCACTAAAGCTGGACTGTTCTTAGACATAAAGCTTCATTAATACTATCCCTGCTATGCCCACCCCCTACTCCACTGTTGCCTTTGCTCTAGACTCGAAGACCCATCCTTGCCCATTACAAATCAGTCCTGAAGAGGCCCTTCCTATCTTGGGTATCCTGCCTTATAAACTCACAAGGCATTGTGTAACATACTCATTTCTTAAACTGCATATCAGGGCAGACTAACTGGCCTGGACCTCAGCCACCAAATCCTGCTGGGGAAGGAAGGGTCCACTCTGCTCTTGACTTACTCCTCAGTGCCCCTTCAGTCTCTCGGGCAGAGGCAGCATCCTTGGGGTGCTCCCCCAGCTCTTCAGATGGGGTGACGCCATTCACCATCTTCTGCTGCACCGATGGGGGTGGGGTGGGGGGCAGCGACGAGGGTGGTGTCGGCGGGTTACTCAGGTTATTCTGGGGGTGGGGTGGGGTGTTGTGTGCAAGATGGCATAGGGAGACTGATGTAATCTCCTGGCCCCACACATCAGCAATTTCCTCAAGTCTTCCACTCCCATCCCACCTCCCTAAGAACGTCATTATCCCCAAAGGTATTGCCATTTTTCTGACCTTGGTAAGCAGCTGGGAATAGTAGTCAGGGCCAGTGGGCAGTGCCCCACTTCCAAAGGCCCCCCTCAGCTGGCTCTGCCCACTGATTGAGCAGCCACTGCCAAAGGGGGCAAAGAGGCTAAAATTGGCGGTGATGGTAGGCTCCGTTAGGGGCAGCAGGGACAGCTCCTAGGAGGGGCAAGATGACACGGTTGGAAACCTCCAGCATTTTCATCTCTGCCACTGCACACCTAGGGGCCAGGGTGCCCCCTATCCTGGGACGGGACCAGGGGACTGGCTCCTGGGGGTCACCTGTTTCAGCTGTTTCAGCAAGGCCTCGCTGGCCCTGACCCCGTCCTCCTTCCGCAGCTTCTTTCGGGAGCTCACCAACCTGTCGCTTGCCTTCTGTACCCGCTTGGGCTTCGGGGTCAGTGGCTTCCTTGCTGCTGCATCCTAAGCCAGATAACCACAGTGAAGGGTGCTACCTGCATCTTCAGAGTCCTCACCTCTTCTGTTTGACCCAGACCTGCTTTCCTGCCCCCAGGCTCCAGATCCCACTCTATTGCTCCACTCTGGCTAGAGCACTTACCTCCTTGTTGCTGGGGGTACCCTGTAGTTTTTGCTCCAGACCAGTCAGCTTGCTGTCAAGGTGTCCGTTGACCTCAGCTCGCAGCCCCTCGGGCCCCCGCCCAGTGCTGAGCTGCACATTCTTTGCCCGTAGAAGCTTCTGCAAGAGCAGATGTCCAGCCTCTGAGCGGTGTCCTGCCAGCAGGAGGTGGTTGCTGGTACCTGGTGTCCCTAGTGGTTCCCCATTGGTCTCCCTTTTCACCGCCTGGGCCCCCAGGGCACATGGCTCTTCCCGAGGCTCCTGCTTGATGCTGACATGGGGCGGCTCAGGCACCGCCTGCCCATTCACCTGCTCCAGATGCCCAGGATCTGGCTTCTGGGCTTCTGCGAGGTTGTCTGGGGGGTCCCAAGGTCCCAGCCCCTTGCCAAAGAAGGTGTCCGCAAGCTGGGCAGCAGCAGGTGAGACTCTCCCAGAAGGCTCCCGGGGCTTTGGAGTCCCTGGCTGGGTGGGAGTGAGCTGGACTTCAGAGTGGAGCTGGGAGCTGGGGGAAGGTAATTTTGGTGAAGGTCTCTTTGGTTCTTGGGGGCTGGATGGTGGAGGTGTGGGATGTACAGGGCCAAGGACTGGTCCTGTTGATAAGGCTCCTTGTGGGGCAGGGAGCCGGGATGGGCCCTGAGGTCGAGGCCCTGCCCCTAGCTCCTGGAGGGGGCCTGTCTGGGATCCAGGGAAGCTTCCAAGTTGGGGTTGACGGCCTAGGAGGCCCTGTAGAGGAGAGGGCTGCGTCCCAGGCTCCTGGAAGGGTGGGGTCTGGCGTACTGTCTGACTCTGCTGTAGCTGTCGCTGCATGAGAAGTGCCTGTAGCTGCTGCTGCTGCTGAGGACTCAAGTGCCGCAGCTGTGGGGTTTTGGCCAGGACCCCTTGGAGCTGTGCTCGAAGCTGACCCACTGTAGGCATGACTCCAGCCCCAGGCAGGCCCTGCCCAGACTGGGGGACAGGTCCTGGTTTGGGAGGCTGTGGCCCTACATTACTTTGCATGGGCCGCTCTAGCCCGAGGGGATGTTGGGGACCCATAAGGTTCTGGCTCATGGGTCCAGGCTGCTCCCCTAAGGAAACAGAGGGTTGTGACAGCAGGTGGGGCACAGATGAGGCCTCAGAAGATGATCCACTGCCTAGCTGCCCATGGCTTCCCCCACCTGCTGTGTGGAGCAAGTTCACTTGCTGCTGTTGTCCAGGGAGCCTCAGAGGTGGCTGCAGCTGCAGGGAGTTGGGCTGAGGCTGGGCCTGGGGTTGGACAAGCAAGAGTTGTGAGTCCCCAGAGACTGAAGGCTTTACCTCCCCTGGTTCGGCAGCCGTTGATTCAGGTGTAGTCCCTACTGCTAGAGGGCCTCCCTGATGTGTTGAGGGTCCCTCAGTGACCTCTGGAGGGAGAGCTGTCTCTACAATGCCTTGTTCCTTGCCCGTCAGGAGGAGGGTTGGGCCCAGGGCTCCGGGGCTAGAAAAGTGTTGAAGAGGCTTGGCTGGCATGCCAGGGCCAAGTGTCACCTGCTGCTGCTGCTGCTGCTGCTGCTGCTGCTGCTGCTGCTGCTGCTGTTGCTGCTGCTGCTGCTGCTGTTGCTGCTGCTGCTGCTGCTGCTGAGGAGACAGTAAAGTTCGACTCTGGTTCAAGAGGCCCATCTGCTGCTGCTGTTGAAATTGCTGCTGCTGCTGCTGCTGCTGCTGCTGCTGCTGCTGCTGCTGCTGCTGCTGCTGCTGCTGCTGTAGTTGCTGCTGCTGTAATTGCTGCTGCTGTACCTGCTGCTGTTGTAGCTGCTGCTGCTGCTGTAGCTGCTGCTGTTGCTGTTGAAGTTGCTGCTGCTGCTGAAGCTGCTGCTGCTGTTGTTGAAACTGGTGTTGCTGAAGCTGCTGCTGCTGTAAGGAGCCCATGGGCTGTGCATTCAGTTTGGGCTGCCCACTGTGTGGCATCAGACCCTGCTGAAGATGGGAGAGCCCTGCCATGGATCCCTGCTGTTGGTGCTGTTGTTGTTGCTGCTGCTGCTGGGATGTGACCAGCCGGTGTGCCATAAGGCCCTGACCCTGCTGTGCTAGCTGGGGGGAACTCAGCACCCGAGGCTGGGTCAGAAGTACCTGTCTGTGAGGGCCCTGGGGGCCCAAAGCTCCAGGGTGCTGCTGCTGCTGGTGTTGCTGCTGCAACACTGCCACCTGGGCAGGGCCCAGCATGCCCTGGGGCCCCTGGGATGGTTGGGGAGACAGCTGTTGGACCAGGAGGCCCTGATGGCTGTTGGGAGGCAGAAGTCCCTGGGGCTTAGGACCCAGGGCCTGGTTTGCCTGCACCCCTGGGCCCTGTTGCTGCTGTTGCTGGATTGCCACCTGTCCTAGAAGGTGTTGTTGCTGCTGCTGCTGCTGTTGCTGCTGCTGCAGTTTCTGGGCCAGCTGCATGCGTTGCTGCTGCAGCTGCCTTTCCTGTAAGAGCCTTGAATCAGGTCCCAAGCCCCGAAGAGCAAGGTTGCCAGGGAAGAAGCTGCCAGAGGGACCAGTCAGGGCCCCAGCCCCACCAGAATGTTGCTGTTGCTGCTGCTGGGCCCGGGCTGTGTTGAGGAAGGGACCACCTGGTTGTCCAGGTAGTGCCATGCCCCCAGGGGGTAGGCGAAGATTTCCAGCTTGCCCACCCAGAGGTCCCTGAGGTGGCTGTAGCCCATGGCCTGGGAGCAGCTGACCAGGGAGCTTGGTGAGTAGTCGGGGACTCTGGGAAGGGCTGAGGGCCAGCACAGCTGAGTGCTGCTGTTGCTGTTGTTGTTGTTGCTGCTGTTGTTGCTGTTTATTCCGATATTCTGCCATGAGATTAGTGTGCTCTTTCTGTTGTTTTCGGACCTAGCATGGGAGAGTCAGAGAGGTCAGCATGGAGCCTGCTCACCCATGCCATCCCTCCTCCCTAGCTTCTAGGTGCTAGGCTGAAGTTTGTTTTCCCCACCTGATCCAGTTGTTTCTGGATCTTGCTCTGCTGCTCTGTGACCAGCTTGAGCTTCTCTGCATCGGCCTCTGGGAACTCACGGCCAGCCTTTTTGGCGGTGCGCTGCTTGGCACACAGAGCCTTCCGGGACTTACGGTGCACACCAATCTGCTCCTCTAGCACCTTCAGCTGCATCTGTAGGAGCTGTTGGGTGTGGAACAGCCACTCCTCATATTGCCGCTGGTCAGCCTCATCTGGGAGAGGAAACAATGTCAGGACCTATAAATAAGATGGTGATCCCAATCCCTTTTCTTCCACATATCCCAAACCACTTCCTTACACCCTTCTCCCATGTCCCATACTCACTGATCACCCCCTGAGCAAAAGTGGGTGGGTTGGGGCGAGGTTGGGAGGGGTCAGCGGCACTCCGCTCCTGCAATAAGAGAAACTGCTAAAGGGTTACTGTTCTGTGCCAGACCCTAAGAAGGGTGGCCCAATAGCATAGGACACAAGTTCCTACTCCCATCTGGCCACTTACCTGGCCACTCCCAGGTGCCACATGGTTCTGCAAGTCATTGCCAGGCCCCCCTGAGAGCCGCTGGGCTAGCAGTGACACTTGTTGCCTGTAGTCCACCAAAGCAAAAAGGGTAAGTGTTAGTGGATGGGGAAAGCAGAAAGGCAGAGAAGAGGTGGAACAAGTAAGGTCAGGGATGGTGGGCCAGGTAGGTGAGGGGTGTAACTGGAAAAGGAAAAAGCCAAGCCCCTCTGCCCCCAACTCTTACCTGTTCATACCGGGTGCCACCCCAATGCTGCCCTGAGCCATCACTTTCTTGATGCCTTTCAAAGCCACCATCTTGGCCTTTGCAATGGGATCAATAATATCTTCTGCAGCAAATTTGTCTAGGTCTGGAGAGGAAACAGCCAAGTGAGCTGAGTTTTGGGCTCCATGTCTACTCCAGGAGCCCTGGTGGCGCAGTGGTTAAGCGTTTGGCTGCTAACCAAAAGGTCGGAAGTTCAAATCCACCAGCCACTCCTTAGAAACCCTGTAGGGCAGTTCTACTCTATCTTATAGGGTCGCTATGAGTTGGAATTGACTCGACGGCAGTGGGCTTGGTTTGGTTTTGGTGTGCTCCACTCCATGTCTGCTGTTCCTTCCAAGAACAATGGCGTGGCACAGTGGAAAGACCACTGGACTAGGAGCCAGGCCACCTGGGTGACTCAGCTCTGCTATTCACAGGACATGTGGCTCTGTTTTTACATGCACAGTGCTAGGAAGAGGTACTTAATAAATATTTATTGATGCGATATATCAATGTCATTTCAGCTATAAGCCTCAGTTCACTCCTCTATCTGAGTGAGATCACGAGCCCTACCCTGCCTACCTCACAGAGCTGTTGAGAGAGTCAAACATGCTGAGAATATGAGTGCACTTGATGACCTGGAAAGCACTCTTCCAAAGCAGTGTTCTTAGAGCCTCTAGTGCAACCCAAGAACCCAAGACACGGGCCTTGTGCCAAAGCCCTAAAGGCCAGAGCTGTTTTAGGCATGACACGCAGCACCTGTAACTACATCCAGGATGTAGGGTAGAAAAGCAGAAATAAGGAACCAACAACAACTTAAATCCTCCTACAATCCTGCACTTTGTGTATTTCCCCATCGCTCAGAAAACTTATCCAACTGCCCACTTTCCATAGAACTAATCAAACTCCCTCTCCTGGCATTTGAGGCATTTGATACAGTTAACAGTACCAGAGTGTCAGGGTTCAAACTCTAGCTCTGCTAGCTGCTAGGTGAGTGAACTTGGGCAAGTTGCTTAACCTCCATGCCTTGGTTTCCTCTTCCGCAAACCAAAAATAATAGTATCTACTTCATGAGTCCCCGGGTAGTGCAAGTGGTTAACATGGTCAGCTGCTAACTGAAAGGTTGGCAGTTTGAGTCCACCCAGAGGTGCCTCGGAAGAAAGGCCTGGTGATCTACTTCCAAAAAATCATCCATTGAAAACCCTATGGAGCACAGTTCTACTCTGACACACATGGGTTCACCATGAGTCAGGATCAACACAACAGGAAATGGTAGGTAATGAGTTTGCGGTGGTGATTAAATTAGACAATGAATGCAAAAACACTTAGCACATTACTTGGCAAATAGCGGTTACTCAATAAATGTTAATGGTATTATAATTCAAGGACTTCCTCAATCTGACCTCCCTACCTCTCCAGAATCATCCACTCACATTCCTCTACATAAAGTCTACTCCAGCCTTACCACTTCACTCACTGTTCTCCAAACACCCCATAGGTTTTCCAGCCACTACGGCCTCACTCAAGTCTTATCACCTATCTGGACTGCTTTTCTTACACCACTCTCCAAGTTCTAAACTTTCAGCCTCATCACAACTGCAAAGCCTTTGCTAATCAGGTTTCATTCATGCATTCAGGCATCTTCTGAGTGCCTATTATATGTTAGGAACCATTGCCCTCCTTCTTAGGAGCTACCATGCTTCTGCCTGTACTACTAGTATGACATTTAGTCAAAGTTCTTTGTGTCCCATTTCCCTTAACTAGAGTTTGTTTTAGATCTCTAGCCCCAGTGCCCATTTGGTGGTAACAACAATCAGCCTGGAGTAACTCAGCCATGCTCCCAACTAAGGATACCTGTATCTGGGAAGAAGCTGTTAGCCAGCTGCTGCTGCATCGCCAGCTGCTGGGGCTTCATACACATGGAAGGTGGCACAGTACCCATGGGCTTCTGTGTCAGCACTGGCTGTGGGCTCTGCTGAGGTACCAGTCCTGCTTGCCCTCCATGCTGTCCACTTAGCATATGCCCTTGGTTGGACACCATGGCCATGGATGGGGCCAGGCGCTGCTGGAGGGCATGAGCTGGTGGCTGGGTGGGAATCAGTGGATGGGCCAAGCCTGGCTGTCGGGTACCTCCAAGACCCAGGGAAAGCTGCTGTTGGGGCCCAGCCAAACTGGAAGAGCCCTCATGTGGCAAAGGCATGGCCTGGGCAGAGCCTGGTGTGGACAGTAGGGAATGCTGCTGCTGTTGCTGCTGGGCAGGCTGCAGTTGTGCTGAAAGCTGCTGCTTCTTCTGCAGTTCCTTCTTCTCATGCTCCAAAAGATCCTCAATGAGTAGGGGCAACTCACTGGCCACCAGTGAGCTCTCCATCTTGTCAAGTTCATCCCCAGACGCCGTGTGTCCACTGGGCAAGGCCAGCGTCCCACTCTCTAGCTCAAACTTTTCCAGCAGGGAAGACCCTCCTGGGCCACTCAACGGGCTGGGGGCCAGCAGGTGAGCCGGTGGTCCTCCTGTGGCCCCAAACGGGCCCTTTTCACCTGTGTGGCCACTGCTGGAAAAGGGCCCTGTGCCCATCCGCGTGTCCCGGTTGCCAATCACGCTCTGTCCTGGCTTCAGCCCCAGGCCCAAAGAAGTGGTGGCAGGTGCTGGCTCTACCTTGGGGGTGGTAATAGTGAACTGGCAAGGGGAGGGGTGGGACCCACCCTCCTCCACCTTGGTTTTCACTTCAGGGAGTACCGGTGCCAGGCGGGGCTCAGAGGCATCAGGGGCAGAGGCAGGGGCAGGGGCAGGGGCAGGGGCAGGACGCTCCTCAGGGCCCAAGGGTCCTGGCTCCACCCCCCGCAGCAAGGCCTCTCGCTCAGCCTTCTCATTGGCTGATTCCACCAGCCTCAGATGCTCATTGAAAATATCCTTCTTGTCCCCAGTGTCTAGCTCAGGGTCAGTATAGGCCAGTAGGTCAAACTCATCTCCGTTGAGCAGATCATCTAGGTGGGGGTCATTAGTCTCCAGGTTTTCTAGGGTGCCCAGCTCATCATCACCCTTAGCCACGTCCACACCCAAGCCCAGATGAGCAAGCTCCTCATCATCCTCTAGGGCCTTGTGGGCATCAAAGTCATCATCCAGCTCAGAATCCTCACAGGGTAGTTTCCCAGCTTCCAGGGCCAGAGGAGGGGGGCGGCTAAGCTCAGTGCTCGAAGGGGGCCGGCTGACCAGCTCCAGGCCAGCGGCTAGGTTGGGACCCTTGGTGTGGGGTGTTGGATGGAGGCTGCTGTTCAATTCAGTGGCTGGTGGGGCTGAGGGTTTCTGTGGAAGAAGCCCTGATACCGTCAGGCTCCGAAGTCCTTCAGGGGCCAGTCGGTGGGGATCCTCACTTAGAGCATAGAAACGGGGTCTCTGAGGGGGCCCCTGACCTGGGAATGGAGGCCCCCCAGGTCCTAGTCCTTTCTGCACATTGTGCCGCAACTCAATGAACTGGGCAGGACCAGCTGGACCAGGCACTGCCTCACCAGGGCCAGGCAACCGGGTGGGAATTCCTGTCATGGGAGAACCTAGGGCTTGGCGGCCAAGTTCAGGCCCAGGAGTTGATGGAAAGCGAGTGGACATTGCAAGTCGCATGGAGGTTGCTGCTGTTGCCTGCTGCTGCTGCTGTTGCTGCCACAGTTGTTGCTGCTGTAAGGGCAGGGGCCCAGGATAGGGTGGTCGCTGATAGAAGGCTTGGGAGCCTCCTACCAGTTGTCTGGAAGAATATACAGTAGTCAGTAAAATGAAATCAGGATGAAGAAGAGCTAGAACATGGGTTTAGGACAACAAGGGAGGAAAAAGTTAATGCAATGAGGGGAAGGAATGGGAAGAAGAGTAAGTGGTATGGGAGGATTAGGGAGATGGGAAAAGCCAGAGGCAGCAAACAACAGCAGTAAAATCTGTCCCTTTGAATGACCCCCAGGGAGGCCCCGAGAGCCTTACCGGCTGTTCACATCCACAGAGGAAGGGGTGGGTGGTGGAGGTGGCCGGGAGAGTCGATCATCTGTGGGAAAAGCCCCTGGCCCCAGGACAGGGCCACCCAGCTTGCTCTGTGGCAGTCCCACAAGGCTACTCTTGTCCTAGGAGAAACGGAGGTAAGGCTGCCACCCTCAGTAGCCTGGCTCCACCACTTTGCTGGGCCCTGCTACCCGTTGCCACTCCACCTACCTGGGTCCCAGTGAAGGGAGTCTGGCCTCGACTCAGCTGCTCAAAGGCAGGGCTGCTGGGCTCCGCACCCCAGCTGCCCGGGGGCCCCACTGCTCCTGCAGCTGCTGCAGCTGTTTCCTTCTCCTGCCGCAGGGTGTTGCGCTGGATCTGCTGCCGAATCAGCAGCTCCCGCAGTCGCTGGCGCTGTGGAGAGAACAGAGAAGAGGAATTAAGTCAGTTCTACTCCAATCATGAGGCTGGCCCAGAGAGAGCAGAGCTATGGGGGGCTCAGTTCCAGGATGTCGACTCACCTGCCGTTGCTTCTCCAGCTCTGTCTGACTGAGGCTGGGCATGCCTGGATCCTGGGTACCTGGGAGTTCAGGTGCCGCTAGGGAGCTGCCCATTCCAGTCCCTGGGTCTTCTCGCTTCTCAGCTGGAGAGGTGATCCCTGCCCGCTGTGAGGCTCCATGGGACAGGTAGGGGAGGGATCCATCGGGTGCAGGCGGTGGCAGGACTGATGGGGGGCGTAGCGGGGACAACCCATAGCCCTCTCCTGTGGACCCGCTGCTGGGACCCAGGGGGCTGCCTGATGTGTGGAAGTTCCCCGCGGCTACTGCGTAGTTTGTGCTTTGGGGCTTGCCCAAGTTGGCGCTGGGCCCAAAATGGCTATTGATCCCATGGGGTGGGGGGGGACCAGGCTGAGGGGCAGGGGGCTTTAAGGAAGGCTCCCCTACCGCCTGAGGGAGAGTGAAACGCATAGGAGAGGGGGTGCCCACAAATGCACCGGTCCCAGGGGACCGGGTGAAATTGGAGGGCTGCCCACTTGGGACCTTGGCGTGGAGCTCACCTGTTGGCCCTGAGGGCAGGGCTGCTGGGAAGCCCCCAGCCCCCAGAGGAGTGTGGGCTAGAGGCCCAGCCTTGAAGGCAACTTCAGAAGGCTGGGGTCGGGGTGGCTTATGCAATGGGGCAAATGGGTCACGGGACTGAGGGCGTGAGGGTGGGCGAGAATAAGGGTCAGGGGACTGGAAGCGAGGGGTAACAGGGGATGGGCAGAAAGCCTCAGCAGAGAGAGGACGGGGTGTCAGTGGGGACTGGGAGCTGGACTGGGACTGAGGACTGGCAGGAACTCGGGAGAAAGGGTCAGAGGGCAGTGAGCGAGGGGGCAGGGCACAGCAGCTCTCAGGGGGTGGTGGCTGGGGCCGAGGAGTCAGTGGGGGCTGGGCATAGGGGTCAGGGTAAGGGCTAGGGCGAAAGATGTCTGGGTGGCTTGGGGGAGAAGGGGCCAAAGCCTGGGCAGGGGGCGGCTCCTGGGGCCGTAGGCTCAAGCCTGGGCTCTGGGGCTCTACCTGAGATGCCCGAGGGGTCAGAGGGGCTTTGAAGACATCAGGTGCCTTTAACTCCAGGCCACCTAGGTGGGGGCCTGAGGAGGGTGAGTCAACAAAACCCAGGTTTGGGGGCCCATAGCTAGGAGAGGCTGCCCCAAGCTCTTCCTTCTTCACCTCTAGTGCCTTCCGGGGCTCCCCAAAAGGTGGGGGTGAGAGCAGGGGCTCGGAAGCCTTGCCTCCCCCTACCCCTGGGCTCTCAGGCACAGCCAGGTTGTCCAGTGAGGGGCAGCGGGGTTTGAGAAAGGGGTCAGGTGTGGAAGGCTGGTGTCGGGGAGTGCCAGGTGGGGTTGTGTGAAATTCCCCTGGCTGACCAGTCCCAGGACGAGATGAGGGGCCCATCGTCGGAGGCTGTGCGGGGGCCCCAGTCGGGCTAGGATAAGGGGGATAGGTGGGTGGTGCCGTGGGGAAGCGGGGCTCCAGGGCATAGGCGGGGGCCAGTCCAAAGGGGTCCTGCGAAGGCACTTGGGCGGGCACCTGGGGCGGGAGCTTGAGGAAGAGCTCACCAGGCGAGTCGGGGCCGGGCACCGTGCCTGCCGGTGGCTTCAGGAACCCGTCCGCAGAGGTAGACAAGCCGGCGGGGGTAGTGGGGCTGCCAATGAAAATGGTGGGGGCAGCAGCAGGGGGCGGACTGCCCAGTGCCCCTGGCTGGGGGGGAATGCGGAGATGTAGGGCCGGTCGGTCAGTCTTACGGGCTATGTCGCCCACCTTGGTTTGCTTGTTGATCTGGCTCTCAGCCTGCTACAGGGGAGACCAGGCATACAGCAGTCAGGCTGCTATGGACAGGCCCAAGTCCCCCACACCCTCAGAAAGGGCACCCACAACAGGACTTCGATGGCTCAGCCCAACCCATCCCAGCCCTGACTCACCTTCTGCACCTTGTTGATGCGGTGAGCCGCCCGGTTATCTTTGGCCTTTTGCTAAAGGATACAAAACACAGTTTTAGGCCTACAGCTCAGCCTCATGCCCAGCCCCCATGCCTCACAATGTCACTCACACTCCCTACCCAGAAGCGATCCCTCTGGCCCAGCTGCTTCAGGGGTAGGGAGTAGAAAGAACTGAGGTGAATTTCCCAAAGACACCTCCCTCCAAGCTCAGTGCCCCAAGATGAACCATGCTGTTTTCTGTCTCACCAGGTAGGGGGCTTTGTCCGCAGCTGGAACCTTTCTCCAGAGCTTCATGATTTGTTTGCATCGGCTAGACCAGTCTGAGGGCAGAAAGAATGAGTTAGAGAAGACATGGCACTCCACTACCCAGCATGTTGCCAGGCTGTTTCCCTTGCCCTCATCCCACAGGTACCTGGGTAATCTTGTTTGAGATTGGGAAAGTTAATGTTGGCATAGAGCACAGGCGAGATGGTGGAGAGCTGGCCCAACTCCTCGTCCTTCTCCCAGCGCTGAAGACTCCGCTGGTTATAGGAGAGCCCGTCGCCCTCACCCTCCGTGGTGGGGGTGGTGGGGGTAGAGGGCGTGGTGCCCCCTGACCCCGTCCACGGGCTGTCTGGCTCACCGGGTTCCGGGCTGAAGAAGCCCCCGCGCTCCCTGGGGCGCAGGGGCAGAGAGTCACAGGGGGCAGGGATGCCAGGCTCCACCACAGACACATTGCCCACAGCCCCAGGCCACTGCCTTGTCCCGACAGGGAAGGGCCCCTTTCAAGAGAGTAGGGAGGAGAAGGGGCCCCCAGGAGTCCAAGGGAGGGAAGGCCCGGACCCAGTCTAAGGGAAGAGACAACAGGGCTGCCCACGAAGGTTAAGCATAGATACCAACCTACTATCCAGGAATGGGGACTGGCAGAGGCCAGGGTAGGAGTCCATTGGGCTGTTGGAGGTGAGATTGCCCAAAGAGAGTCCACCTACAAGAGGCATCAGATCAGAGAGAAGGGAGCAACCGGCCCATCCTAGGGGCAAGTTTGGCTACACCTGCCCATCTAGTCTTCAAACCACCCCTACCTGCACCGCCCTGGAGAAAGGGCCTCTGCAGTGGCGTACGGCTGCCATCTAGGCCAGGGGTTCCACAACCCAGATGCTGCTCTCGTTCAGAACCCAGAACATCCTTGAAGAGCTGCTGCAGGTCTTTGGATTCCATCTTAGGCAATTCTGTAGGGGAATGATGAGGGACGATGCTGAGGAAGACTGGGGAGCTGACGGGACCCCACAAGTATACGAATGGTCATGGCCAGGGAAGGTGCCCAGGACTCCCTTCCAGAGACATGGTAGAGACGACAGTCCCACAGGTAGGACCTTCTCCTTCCCCCATAGAGGACCTTTACACACAATGAGGTACGGGTCACAGCCTCACCTTCTGTGGGAATCCTGTCTAAGTCAGAGCTAAGCATCCCTTCACCTGGGGTGCCTGGCTTCTCGGGGTCACTGGGCACTGGGGATGCCTTTATGCCCCCATCCTCAGGTCCTGCAATTGCCAGGAGAAACCCATCAGTCAAGGCCAAGATGAAGGTACCACATCAGCCACCCTGAACCACACAGGGGCATGCAACAGTTTCCAGCCTCCAACCCTGCCAGTGCTCAGGGGCAGAGCAGGTCGACAGAGGCAAAGTCAAGACAGGACACAGTCCCCCAGCAGCCCTCACCTGGTGTATCAGCTTTGCCCTCGAGGCCACGTGATTCTTCATCTGCAACATCTGGACCATCATCTCCTAAGAGCAATAGCCCCCACTCTAATCAGAGATGCCTTACACCTGACACTCAGGCAGGTCCCCAGCTCTACAGAACAGGGCCTTCGGCCCACCCTCGACTGCTGGAGACCAGTCCATTTCCCACCAAATACCCCTGACAGCTCCTAAGTACAGAGGGAAGATAGATCCCTTCACACCCCTTCACCCATGACTGACCTTTCTGCAAGGTTGGGGGCTCCTTCCTTTCTGAGCCTCCATCCCCCTTGGTTTTGGGGGTTCCTAGTCCAAAGCTTGGCCGGCCCACCCCGACTGCAAAAAGGGCCTTACGGCTCAGGTCCAGCAGCTCCTTCCCAAAGAAGGCTTCCTGTGAGAGGAATCAGGGAGAAATAGGTTTTTTCATGCTCTGCAGGGCCCAGACACTCCCACTCACCCCTCAGACCCTAAGTCCCACCTGCAGGTAAGCAGGGAACATGTCCTCCAGTTTGCTCTTCTTGCGCCCTCGCCGCTGCTGCTTCTTCTTCTCATCCCCATCAGCTAAGCTCTGCTCAACGGAGCCCTCTGCCGGCAGGTCAGAAGGCATCACTGAGGACAGGACAGGAGGTGTCAGCCTTTCTGGTGACCCTGGGCATGCTGCTCCCTACTCAGCCTGGTGACACTTTCTGCTTACCCTCTCCCCTGACACCAGTCAGGCCCATCACCCTCTTGGCCTTTTCAGTGGCCCATTCGCCAGGTCTCCCTGGCATTGCCCTGTGGGTCCTGTGATCCCCACCTTCTCCCAGGCCCCACTGGTGCCCTCACCCGTCTCACCCTCGTCGGGCTGCCCATCACCACTCAACACCTCCGCCTGTGCTGCAGGCCCCCTTTTCACACGTGTATGGGATTTCCGCTGTCGCACCATGAAGCCACCAATGCCTATGAGGAGGAGGTAGATGTGAAGATGAGGAGCTGCTGGGGGACCTGGTCCTCACCACCACCCCTCCCCATCCCAGGGCCTCACCAGGACGATACGGTTTGCGCTTGCGTTTTTTGCTTTCCTCGGTCTCCTCCTTGCCAGGCTCTCCGTCAGGGCTGATGGGGCCCTCCAGTTTAATTTCGCACTCCATGTGCTCTACACCACCTGCATAGGGAGACAGAAGAGATGGAGGCAGATCAGAGGCTTGGGCCCATTTAACCTTGTCATCCTGGCACCCAACAGCAGAAAGAGCTGAGTGCCCTGCCAGAGCCATTTGGACGTGACTAACAGTGGCTTGAGGGTGACTGGGAGGGACAACGTTGCCCCCACCCAGACCCCAACTTTCACAGGCCCACTCCCACAACTTTGCCACTCCCCAAGGTTCCCCAGCCCAACCTTCACCCTTGATAAGCTCATCAGCGTCCAGGTCCCCATCCTTCTTGTCATCAGGTCCGAGGGCATCTGAGGGCTCAGAACCTTCTAGCCCTCCCTCGCCTGGGAGGCCAAGCCGCCCCCGCCGCTGGCGCCGCTTGTGCAGAGGTGACATCGTCAGGTTACGCAGCACGGCCATGCCAGTTTCTGTCAGCCACACACCCTCGAAGCGAAAGTACTGGGGCTCTGCACAAGGGGGAAGAGCATATGAGCCCTGGATGAACGCCCTAGGAAAACTAGGACTCCGAGTTTCGGCCTGAGTCCCCAGCTGGGACAAAGGCAGTGACAGAGAGGTCAGACAAAGTCCAGCCTGGGGTTTGAGGCCACCAATGAGCACTAGCTGAGGCCTGAGTTCAGTGGCCCAGGGAAATTCAGAGACAGACTGCTACCGCAGAAGCCTGATTTCGCTTATGATTAACCCTAGGTTCACCAAGATAGTCTTTAAATGTCTGGGGCTTGGAGGGCCCATAGTTGATGAACGCCAGCACACAGTACCCCAGATGCCAGAAACAGTGTCCACATCATGATGGAGAGAGAGAGACACCCCCAGCCTCCTTCACTGAGGAGAAAGAGCTGTTTTCTCTAGAGATGAGATTCTCGCAGGAAAGATGCGACATTGCCTAGAAGGTAGACTACAGGGAAACTGGAGAACTCCGTTCTAGTCATAACTTCACCACTAACTTACTGAGTGACCTTCGGCAGGCCACTCAACTTCTCTGGGTTTTAGTTTACTCCTCTTAAAATGAAGAGATGAAGTTAGGGGGTTGGAGCTGGCCTAGACAGATGGTGTCTACAGTCTCCTCTGGCTCCGGCATTCAAAATTTTGTGACTCACCTGGCTCTTTCACTTTCATAGGCACCAACTCTGGAGGCGCAACAGGCACTGTGAAGAGAAGGCCAAAACCAAGGCAGCTCGAGACCCTATCCCAAAGCAAGGCACCTCTGCCCTGACTCCTCCTCCACCCCATCCCCTGCGCCTCGTGCTAACCCGCAGGCTTTATCACATAGGGTTGGCAGGAGACACAGTCAAAGCCCTCATCTGCAGCCTGCTCCACTTCTTCCTCTGTGAAGAGGCTCTCACAGCCAGCATGCATCCACCTGGGACAAGGGAGACAGGAGGAAATGAGCCCAGGCAATGGCAAGACTCAGAACGGAAGAAAAAACCAATGTGAAGAGTAAGGGGTAGGGAACGTCCTCACCGTTCACAGTGGCGACACTGGATGAGTAGGTCCTCTTCTACGTATGGGGCATGACAGATAGGGCAGGTCACCAGGCTAGCACAGGGCCCACAGTGTGTGTAACTATTCTGCCATTCACAGTGGAAGCCAGGGGAAGCGGCCCCACACTGCATACAGGAGACACACCTGTGGGGGCAGAAAGGCAGGACCTTGGCACCAAACGTACCCAAGGCACCTGGAGTCGCCCTCACTGTCAACCAAGCAAAAAGCCTGACCTCCTAAACCCAGCCTCTGTCATTACTCAACATCGTATCAACTTTAACATCTCAGGCCCAGCTTTCTGAAGATCCGTCTCCTTACCACTTGCATTTCCAGCCACCTTTGGGCACGGTGAGCAGTGGGGGGTCCAGGCAGTATGTATGGTAGCTAATGTCACAGTCATCACAGAGCAGCAGGCGTGAGGGGTCAGAGGCCTGGCCACACACCTCACACACAATACACTCCACGCACCGCCAGCCCTTCAGAAGCATCACCTTGGTGATCTGGTATAGAAGATGGGAATTGCTCAGGGTGCCATAGAGAGGAGAGGGCAGAACTTCTCAGGGGAGGGTGCGACTTATATGGATGGGGCTGGAGGAAACCCAATGCACAGATTAGACCTCCATTTTAAACACATGGAGGTTTATGCAGAGCACCCTCACCCCCAAAACAGCAGCTCTGAATTTAGGCTTCCAAGGATCTCTGCTGATCAAAGAACAGCCTCACCCGGCCACTACTCATTACTAGACTGGAATGGTAATCTTTCACCAGCCAACTGCCCAAAATTTAAGATCATGGATATAATTACGTTTACTTCTCTACAATTTTTCTGGAATATTTAGAACCTGCTACTGCTACAAGTTAATGAATGTTAGCAGTGATCAACTTATGAATTAATGTTAATAAAAAAAAAACCCAAAATGGACTATCGTGCTTGGGTCAAGAACACTGCTTTCTCTTTGTGGACATATGCTTATGATTTTACATTTTATCTATAGACTATATCAAGTTTTCTCCTCGCAAAATTGGCCATCATTTACAAGATGGATTAAATTATACCAGAATCATGGCCCATCACAAAGAAACTATAGACAGCCATAACTTCCAAAGTACTTTTCCCCAAGATGAGTTTGATAATCACTGGTGACTGATAAGTAACTTTTATGACCAGTGGCTATCTTAAGAAGCACTGTGGCCAAGATAGTGGCCTACAGTAAGAAATAACTGACCCCATCCCCCAGCCCACACCTCTTGTGCCCTGAACTTACCTTGCTGTTAACACAGTAAGGGTGATAGCACTGAGAGCACTGGGAACAGGCAAGGAGATGGCCCTCTGCTCCCCGGCCAAAGCTGCCACATACCACACACATGTCCTGGGGAAACACGCAGAAACCCAAATGTCTAGGTAGGTCTCTTCATTCCACTTACTCCTGGCCAAATGACTGCCACACTAATGTGAGAGTCAGCAAGTCAGGGAATCAAAACCTCATTCCACAGCATTAGAACACAATAAGCAACCACAAGACCCTACTTTTCCTCCTATTCATCCCACAGGAACTACTTCTTCCTAGGATGCCTTGCTCACCTGATCAGGCAACTTGAATTCATATACCCTGACACAAGTAAAGGTAAGGAGTAATGAAAGTAAGATAAGACAGGGGGTAGACAAAGACTGGTCAGGACGAAGGAGTAACATATGTCACAAAATTCCACCAGCTTCAAGATTATTCAGGTGAATATACATAGCCTCCAAGACTATAAGCTCCAATCATGCAAAGACCATCTGCCTTTTTCACTAGTCTAGCACTAGTAGTTCCTAGCTCAGTGCCAGGCTCAGAAGAGACACTCAAGAAAAATTTTGACGGATGGACAAATGACCAATGTGACTCTGATTCACTGTCTATTTTCTCATTAAGTGTGTATCCCCAGAAGTAGGTCCCTGATTTTCCCCACTGCCCCTACCACCAAAATACACACATCCAATGTTCAGTGTGCCAGGGCTCACTGCTGAGGATGGGACTACACCAGTCAAGTATGGTACCTGCATTAGGACAAATTTGTCTGTATTGGAGAAGAGAACCACGGTATTTTGCATGGTGTCATCATCTTCTTCTTCTTCTTCCTTGCTGGGAGAGCTATCGATATCAGCAACCTTATAGGCAGAGAGTTGTGGTAAGTGAGCCAGATAAATCTGCCCCAACCAAGCTGCTTTCCTCTTTGGTGCTGGGGGACGAAGGTGTGAACCCCTGGCTAAGATTAAGATCAGAAGCCAGGACTCCGAGGCAGAGGAATATCCCAGCTCCCAAACTAGGCCTCAGTCCGATGGCAGAGATTTCAGAGAAGCCTGGGGCCAAGTGGGTAGAAGGAGCACAGACAGCTGGACAGGCCCTAGGCTAGCAGGTAGGTAGACAACAGTGCAGGGACTGGCAGGATTTATAGAGTGTTTAATTTCAAAGGGGTCATCTGAAGCATGTTTTGGGGGATGGGAGGCCTCTCCTTACTACCAGAGTCTCAATGGAAGAAGCAGTTGATTTTAGTCGGGCCCGTCCTCTCCCACGTCCTCCGTGTGCTCCTCCGCGTGGCCGGCGTCTTCCTGGGAAACTACTGCTGCGTCCCTGAGTGAGAGAAAGGGACAATTACCAGAGCAAGTCTAGGGCTAGCGTGTTGGGCCCACAGGCTCAGAAGAATAGAGACAAATGGACAAAGTATGATGGCTGACAAAGCCCAGGAGGGCTAGTCAGGGCAAGGAAAAAAGCCAAGCTCCAGATACTAACGGATAGCTAGTTCTGGCCCATATGAACTCCCCTCTTGCCAGAATAAAGAGTAGCCAGCGGGGTACCATTAAAAAAAAAAAAAAAAAATACTGCCTTAAAGGCTGAGAAACCTGAGTTTTTAGTCTCAATTCTATTACTGAGTAGTTGCAAACCTAAACAAGTTACTTTCCCCCTCCAAGCATCAGTATTCTCCTTAATAAAAAGGCTGCACTAAAGGATCTTAGAGTCTAGGATTCAAGAAGCCAGGTGGGAAGTTATCATGACACAGGGCTGTACCTCTGGATGATGGCATGGATAGCCTCTCACCTGCTTAATGCGGGAACAGGCGGGGGAACTGCGCCGCCTCCCCTTGTCCCCCTCGGCTTTGCCTCCACTGACAGTTGTCCCAGCTTCACACAATAGCGAGTCATCAGTCTCTGGCAGCGAGTCGGTACAGAGCCGCAAGGAGCCCTCATCTCGGGCTGGGCTAACGTCTGTAGACACCCCCAGCTCCATGGACAAGGAGCCACCCCCCTCAGGGTCAGGAGAGCCCAGCAGGGGCTCTGAGCCAGGAAAACTAGCACTGGCATCACCCTGGCTTAGATTGGAGATCTCATTAACGATGTCGGATTTGATGAGAGCAGGTGGGGTGGGGGCCACTGGCGCACGTGGTTCCTCCTGCATCTCACAGGGTGAGCCCTGCCCTGCCTGTTTGCATTCTGGGCCATAGACCTCCATAGGGGTCACAGGGGCCAGCTCCTCAGGGTCCAGGAGCACAGGGGAACCCTTAAGTTCACAAGCCATTGAACTGCCAGGGGTCTGTCCAGCTTCTGGCTGTGAACCAGGAGTGTCAGTCCCATCAAGAGGGGCTGTGTCTTCCCCCAGGCCAGAGAAGTCATCCAGTGCTGGGGCAGGGCTAGGTGCAGGACAGGAAAGGTCTCCCATGGAGGAGGGGAGAGGACTGGTAGGGCTGGGCTCCAGGGCTGGGCACTCGGGTTCTAGAACTTTTTCAGTCTCCATCTCATGAGGCTCAGCCTCATCTGAGACCTCTGCTGTCTTCTCCATGGGACTGAGTGGGGAGGGGACGGACAGAGGCAGAGCAGGAGGGGAGCCCTGGGAAGGAGGGGAGTTTTGGGGAGGCTGGGAAGGCTGAAGGAATAGAGAACACTGAGGGGGAAGAGGCTCCATCAGGATGGGAGAGGCTGGTCCCACTGGGGAGCCTGGAGATGGGGGAAGGATCATAGGGGGTACAGGTTCAGGGTCAGTGCAATTTGCTTCTGGTGGAGGGCTGATGGGTGTCTCTAGGATGGGGGCAGCCAATGGTGACTCAGGGTCACTGTCCCCTTTGGCAGCAAAGGCGTACTCTAACTCCCCTAAAGGAGACAGGGCTGGTGGGGCCACAGCTGTGATAATGGGTGAGAGTGGAGGAGGAAGAGGATCTAGACGGAGAGAGAAAAAAGAAGGTTCTTAGATTAAATGTACCATAAAGAGTAAGACTATTCCAGAGAAAGGGGGCAGTAACAACCCCTTACCTGATGGCATCAGTTGAGGTGACAAAGATGGCTCCCCAGATGGGGACATGGGCAGATCCTCAGGCAGAGGGGATAGAGGTGGCTCCCCAGGCTCAGACAGGGCCGGCTCTCTAAGCAAAGGGGACAAGGATGGCTCCCTAGGTGGGGGTAACAGGGGCAACTCCTCAGGTGCAGGGCACAAGCCTGGCTCCTCAGGGGGCTCCACAGGGTTGGGGGACAGGTGAGATTCTTCAGGCTTGGGGGACAAATGTGGCTCTTCAGCTACAGGGGACAGGCACGGTTCCTCAGGTACAGGGGACAGGCGCGGCTCCTCAGGCCGGGGGGATAGGCGCAGCTCCTCAGGCGCGGGGGACAGGCGTGGCTCCTCAGGCACTGGGAAAAGGCGCGGCTCCTCAGGCGCAGGCAACAGGCGCGGCTCCTCAGACGCGGGGGACAGGCGTGGCTCCTCAGGCGCGGGGGACAGGAGCGGCTCCTGAGGCGCGGGGGACAGGAGCGGCTCCTCAGGTGCGGGGGACAGGAGCGGCTCCTGAGGCGTGGGGGACAGGAGCGGCTCCTCAGTTGTGGGGGACAGGTGCAGCTCCTGAGGCGTGGGGGACAGGCATGGCTCCTCAGGCCGGTGACAGAACTGCAGCTCCTCAGGCTGAGGGCAGAACTGTGACTCCTCAGGTCGGGAGCAGAGACATGGCTCCTCAGGCAGTGGTGACAGGGGTGACTCTTCCAGCGGCAGGGACGTGAGCAAGTTCTCCGGTGATGGGGAAGCAGGTAAGTCTTCAGGTGGCAGGGATGTAGGTGAGTCCTCAGGTGGTGGGGACAAACGGGAAGCCTCAGGTGGAGGAGATGTAGGAGACTCCTCAGGTGGTGGGGACAGGGGAGACTCCTCAGGTGATGGAGATAGGCGTGACACTTCAGGCAGGGGAGACAGGCGTGACACCTCAGGTGGGGGGGACATAGGTGAGTCTTCAGGTGGTGGGGACATAGGTGAGTCCTCAGGCAGTGGAAACAGGCATGATGCTTCAGGTGGTGGGGAGAGAGGAGACTCCTCAGGTGGAGGGGACAGGGGAGACTCTTCAAATGGCGGGAACAGACGAGATGCCTCAGGTGGTGGTGACATAGGTGACTCTTCAGGTGGAGGAGACATGGGTGACTCCTCAGGTGGTGGAGACAGACGAGATGCTTCAGGTGGCGGGGAAGTGGGCAATTCCTCAGGTGGGGGGGACAGAGGAGACTCCTCAAACGGTGGGGACAGGGGTGATGCTTCAGGTGGTGGGGACAGGGGTGTCTCAACTGAGGGGGATGGAGGAGACGCCTCTGGTGGAGAGAAAGGTGACTCTTCAAGTGGAGAAAACGGTAATGATTCAGGTGGGGGAGACAGGGGAGACTCCTCAGGTGGTGGAGAGAGGGGTGATTCCTCAGGCGGTGGGGACAGGCGCGATGCCTCAGGCGGTGGGGATGTGGGTGACTCCTCAGGTGGTGGGGATAGGGGCGACTCCTCAGGTAGGGGCAGCAGTGGCATCTCCTCATTTAGGGGGGCCTCCAACTGGGGCTCAGGTTGGGCCCCTGTTCTCCCTGCAGACATAACACACTGTGTTCCTACCTAGCTCAGCTCTACTCCACAGAAAATGTAGGGTCTTGGGCAAAGTAGGAACTGTCCATTGCCACAGAATAGAAAGGGATTAATTTCAGGGACCCTTAAACCCTACTCACCTAGTGGTGTGGCTTCACATTGCAAGGGCCCCGGTTCCTTGGATTGCATAGAGGTCACATGCCCACCCTTTGGCTGCCCTTGGCGTGCAACGTTCAGAGCATCAGGCTCATCAGTGGGGGTATCACCAGGCTCTGGGGGTGAGAATCTGCAGAGGGTACAGGGGAGCAGGCACTGTGACTCTTAACCAGCTATCAACTCCTAGGAGCACACTGGTGCGAGGCATGAATGTTATGGATTGCACACCCACCTTAGGCTCTCCTCTAACGTCCACCTGGTTAACATGGCTCCTGCCAAGCTCAGTACTTCCAACCCCCTTCCCAGTCTCATCCAGTCCATACCCTTACCTGCTACAGACAGGGGGATGCTGCTCAGCAACAGGACCGATGGGCTGGCCTCCCTGGGCTTTGTGACAGCGGTGACAGAGCGAGTAGTTCTCAAACCATTCCGAGTTGGGATTCAGCTCTGCTGAGCCTGCCCCACAGGCCCGGCATACCCGGCATGCCTAGGGGAAGGAAGAAGGCAAAACAGACATTGGTCGGCCAGCAGAGACTAGAGGGGAGCAGAGGACTTGTCACAGCAGAGAACTCCGGGGATGTTGTAGGAGGCAAAACAGGGAGAAGGCAGAATCAAGGGATATTCACCTTACACTTCCAAGAGTGAGCAGGCAGTTCCTCCATCGGTGGTTTTAGGCAGAAGGTATGGTATCCTTTGTCACATGTCTCACAGACCAGCATCTTAGAGTCATTCCCAGGTTTCCTGCAGGAGCACAGGGCCCATGACAGGGTCCTCCCTATGCTCCTTTTCAACCTTAACCGGTGCTTCACCTAAGGCTTCCTTCCTCCCCTCCCATTCTTACCTGCAGGCTTGGCACACTTTGCATTCGGGGCACTGCCAGCCGGCACGCTTGCGGGCAGTCAGAGCAGTGTCCAGGCAAGCCCCATGATAGTGATGCCCACAGCTGGTACAGAAGAACAGGTCACACAACTCCCCGGGCCCCTCACATACTGCACAACGAGCCTCCTCTGCAGTGGGTAGAGACAGAGAGCACACAGGTCAGTTATGGTTTCTTTGCAAGTCTCAGCAGTGCTGTATAGATAACAGGTATTCCACGGACACAGAATGAACAAATAACAAGCAGTTACTAAATGCCTGCCTAATACATACCAGACACTGTCTAGGCACTGCAGATACAGTGCAAAACAAGACAGGCAAAGCCCCCACACTCACAAAGTTCACACCTATTTTAATAGGGCAGACTGACAATAAATAATTACAGACTTTGACGAGTGCATCGCAGAGTGCGAGAAACCAAGGCTCCCTTGGACTCCCATTTCCCCTGTATCCAAAGGGCAGGGTTTCTCACCCAGATGTGTGGCCCCCTCACTGTGCTCTGGGCATAGCAGCTGCAGTGTCTTCATGGATAAGAAGGAACCGCTGGCAGTCGCGCAGGGGAAGTGGTAAAGCCGTGGACATCCAGGTGAGCGGCAAGGAATGGAGGCACCGAGCCTGGTGCAGTGGGAGCAGCGCTGTCAGGGTGGAGACAAACCCTTAGTGCCAGCCAGCAATGCTTCAGGCACCAGCTCTGCCCCAGTCTGTCCACTGCCTGCCTCCATCCTATCCTGACTCTCCAAAGTCCACCACCTCTGCCTATCCTCTACAAGCCCAGCCCTGCCCTTTGCCTATGCAATCCCCTTGCTCCAGTCCCACCTGGGAGATCCCTGAGAAGATGGCCTTGTCCACACCACATAGTTCTGGGCCCTCCTGCCCCCACACGCCTGCCGACCATGCAGCACACCAATGGTGAGCCCAACAGGGCCCTGTGCAGGTGGGAAGAAGTAAACAGAAAAGTTAACAAAAAGGTGGTCGCTGCCTAGCCCCTACCCTCTTTCCTGCCCAAGGCAGTTACCCCACTTCCCCTCACTTACCTCCAGGTTCTCCTAGATGAGCAGGTGTCAGGCCCTCAGGGAAACCAATCTGTGACAGGTCTTCACTGGGTAGCACTGGTTCACTGGGCACTGGGTCCCCCCCAGGGGACACCACAGGACACCGGGGCCAGTCAAATGGCAACTCAAAGCGCCGTAGCTCCCGCTGCCCATGAAGACTGGGCTCCCCGCAGTTACAGAGAGCACAACGCCGCACTGGACCCCGACTGTGGACACATGAGCATCAGCACCATACCTGGCCCCTGCCAAAGGCAGCCCTGACAACCACATAATTTGGCATGCCAATGCTTCTAAATTACTCGTGTCCCTAAATTCTCCTCCTTAAAAGCCCCATGTTCTCAAATCAAATCCTCAAATGCCCTATATGCTCATTTTCCCCAAACTAGTTACCTGCAGTCCTGGGAAGGCTCCTGAAGCCTGGGATCCCCAGAAGTGGGGACAGAGACCACCCCCACATGTGAGTTGGGAAGGTCTGGCTCAGCGGCGCCTGACTCCTCAGAGGCTGCAGGTCCATCAGCTGAATGAACAGAGCAGCACACATCAGCCATCATTCCTTATTTAATATGAGTACACTCACCAGACCCGTGAGATTATCCAAAACCCTTGGTGGATCACAGTGATAGCATTTTGACTTTTGTCCCAAAGAACAAAGTCCTTCAATTATCTATTAGATAGACTTAGCTCATGCCCTTGTTCCAGGACCAGAAATTAAGGTTTCTAGGAGCAGAAAGCTGCCAGCAAACCCAAAATTTCCCCTACTCACCTGCCGGTTCTGAATCTTTATCCTCACCAGACGGCTTCTGGCTGTCCATCCCTCTCTCCGACTGGGCAGGGCCCTCTCGGGGAGACCTGTCAGTGCCAAAAGAGATATCTATATGTTTAATAAGTCTCCCCACTAAGTACTTTTCCTAGGATCCCAGAAGAAAGACAACTAATGGTACCCAGACCCTGCAGACATCAGAGTAAAGCCATACCTACAATCTCCTGTACTAATGACAAGGAAAGTCATTCTCCTTGACCCTTATCCTACTGCCCATTTCCTCCCCAGATAAATACACAACCTCCTCTCCCATTCTGGTTTCTCAGGGGATCCACTCCCCTTTCCCACCTCCAGCCTCCTCTGCAGAAGTTCCCTGGGCATTAATAGCATCTAAGCAGAAGCATATCCTATCTACATCTACTGCTGCCCTTTGCTGCATCTCTGAGTTCCTGCCTTCCAGTGGGCCCTGTTTTCTGGTCTTCTTCCTCAAGTCTCAAGTCAGCTACCATCCTAGGAGCCTAACAATGCTAAGCCAGGGGTAGTCATAACCCAAGAAATATGAGCCCAGCCCAAATTCCTCTCCCTGAGACAGAGTCTGGGGTCATACAGGAGGTAGAACACACTATTGGAACCAAAGCCCAGCTATAGGTGGATCTCCTCCACCTCCACTGTTTCAACCAGGACATCCTAATCACAACAGAGGAAATTCCCCAATTTTCAATCATTGCCCACCCAAATCCACCTCAGGCCCACCCCCAACCTCCTTCCAGTCCCTGCCCTGACTGAACTCAGGGTCTCACCTACCCTATACGCCTCAGGTTGTTGCCCTTAGCAACGCCAACTGCCCTTCCTCCTCAGATGTCCCCAGTAGTTAACAGAAGTGGGCCTTAAGAGTTACTGAGCATGTGTAACCAGGCCTATGGCTAGGCATGCTGGGAGTTGTAGTCTCAGGAAGCACAGTGCCACTAAGAGGAGTTCTAAACCAGGCAGGACACAGCAAAGCAGAGTAGCTTCCTTCCTTTTCTGTCAAGCAGGGTTTCCACACACTCTATGTGTGAGGTGGGGAGTGGGGGGAAGGGTAACGGTCCCCTCTTCTAAGATATGACTTCTGTACCAGAGCCAAATGAAACATACTAAAGTTATACCTAAGAAGGTGAGACTCACACCTTTGGGTCTAGTTTCTTAGACCTAAGGGAACTAAGCATAGTACAAAAAAGAGAGGCATATAGAATAATAAGACTACCAGAGGTGGGGAGCAGGAAAAGGATCCTACAAAGAAAAATGAAGCAAGGGACAGGTGTCAACAGCTTTTAGCAAGAAGGGCAGGGGCTTAAGCAGAGAAAAACCGTATCTAATGTTCCCAAAGAGGGGGTGGGGGAGGGATCCCTAAAATAGAACCCTAAGTAAAAGTTTGAGAAATTTGTCTGTCACCTTTTCTGTTCCTCTTGTTTAATCAGAGAGACCACATTTACCTTAGGACAACCCCTCTCCCCAAACTGGAAGGAAAATACCCGAGTCCACCCCTTGGGGTTGAGTGACTTGGGCAAATGAGACAAGGAGAACCCTCAAAGGTGCCCAAGATCAGGAAATCAATTGCCTAAAACCACAGTATTATTCCTCCTGAACTCAGACTCCATTTCCAAAGATTGGCAGTGCCCTTCCTGAGACATGTCACAGGAAAGGAAATTATTTTCCTTTATTCCTCTCAGAGTCTACTAGATAGGGAAAGTAAAGCATCCATCCCCAGATTATTTCTTTCCCAAACCTGCCATACCTGAAAGCAAAGCAGGGTGGGCATCTGGCCGGCCCATAGGAAAGTGCTCTAGAACTTCAAGAAGCCATTAGAAACCACCTATGGGAAGTGGGAGCTGGAGGTCAGGGCACCAGCCAGACCCTTCTTCCTAGTCAGTCATTCAAGGCCTGACCATACCTATGAGATCCAAAGGAGCTTCAAGTTTCCTAAATGTTTGCATCTTACTGTATCTTACCATCATTGTCCCCAGAGATTCTCCACCCACTTCGCTCTCAAAGTCGAGGCCAAAGGAATCACAAACAGAAAGAAATAAAAAGCAACAGTGATAATACAGTGGGTGGGAGGAGGACCGCCTCACACAAGGCCAGAGGGACAAATTCCTCTGCCCTCCTCCGAGTGCAGCCCTCTCAGACTGGTAAGTCTGGCCCTGCCCAGGAAGGTACAGAAACCACCTTCAGCCAGCCTGGGAAGACAGAGTACAAACATCCTCCAAAGTCAGAGCCCTGCTGTGCCTATGGAAGATGAAAGATCAAGAAGCAAGGAGCAGAGTATTCTCCAAGCTGTACCAAAAACAATCTAGGGATACCCTCAAGAAGCCTGAGCCCTCAGCCCTTATTTCCCCTCCCCTGAAGTCTAGCACCTTGCACCTCAATGCTGAGTCCTACAGTTATCAGGCCCCTGAACAGAGCTAAACAAATAAAGACAACAGGTTCCCCCTACTCCATCACTCACAGCCAGAAACCACACACACACACAAACACACCAGGGTACACCAGGGGAAAAGACCTCAGCTGGGCTAGGTAGGGTCTAGCCAGGCTTCCTCTGAGGAACTATAGATCCCAGAGAGCAAGTACAGATCTAGGGAGTAAAACTGTGCTGGTTCTACCTAGTCCTAGGCCTAAGAAGCGCAAAGCAGCAAGGAAGAAGGCAGGGACTTATCTCAATCTACTCTCCTCCCTGTCTCCATCCCAGACCAATAGTTTTTAACTCCTTATCCCAGCCAAGGGGGAAATGGAGGCCCCGGAGAGGTGAAAGGCTGAAGTAGGCCCTTGAGTGAACAGCGCTTCAGCAGGACTCAGGACTTCCTGGTTCCCAGACTGAGAATCAAACCACACCTCTCTCCACCCCCATTTTGGGTCAGCCTTTCAGGAAGGATCCAAATGGCAACACTGGCCCTGTAGACCCTCTGGACTGTCCCTGAGTCATCCTGGGGTCGGCCACAGCTAACAAGAAGTCCCTCCCAAGGAAACTGTTTGAGGACAGAGAATAAGAGGAGCCCTCCATAGAAGGCAGGGGCAAAGAGCACGGGTGACAGCTCACCTCACTCCACCATCCTGTGCCACCTCTTACCTCGAAGTTACTACCCATAAATCTCTCAAGGGCAAAGCCTCTATTCTCCCCCTTTCCAAGACCAGGCTCAAAGAGATTGAGTGTGTGTATGTTGGAGCGGGTGGAGTGAGGGAGCAAAATGCACCAGCCAAATCCCTGCTGGGCAGCATGACAGGTGTGAGAGGGGCTGTCCCAGCCCAGGGTCCAGAGGCGTGAGGCTCATGCTGCACCCTTCATGCATGAACATACACACCCCTTTTCCCCAACACCTCTTCCTAGCGCTGGAAACACTGGCTTCCAGCAGAAACAGCTCTAGTCAGGTCATTTCCCCTCCAAAGAGGTACAGGCCACCCTACTGCGCACCTGGGACAGGATCTGAGGACCAGTACACATTCTCTGGTCAGAAAAGGCCTAGGGAGGTCTGGGAGGGGCTTGCAGGATCGGGGGCTCATGGGCAGCCAGCTTTCCACATCAGCTCCGGAGAAAGCGGGAGACAAAAGCCATTTTTTCGCAGCCCACATTCGCAGGGAGCAAATCTCAACAGCCTCCTCTATAATCCCCTGGAGATTATGTCCATTCTGAGAGGACGGGAGGCAAAGCAGGTTAAGACAGCACTAGGCCTTGCTGGGGTCACTTTGCCAAGAGGACTAGCTTCTAGTTGAACAGCAGGGCCAGAACTGCCCCCGGCCCCGCCTCATTCTTGCCCCAGTCACCCCCTTCATCACGCTAGTTAGTTTCCACACACTCTTCGCTTTGCCCAGTGAAAGAAGGCCTGTGAGGGATCCGGGGTTGCTTGAGTTTCCCAGGGACTGCTTTGGGTGCCCGGCTGGGTAGGGCAGCCTTAAAGTCCAACCTGGCAGTAAGTCCGACCTGGCAGTGGTGCCCTCCCCCCATCCCAAGTTGTTCTGTTCCCCAGGCCCACAAGAAACCCTGGGGGAGAAGCAGCAACCTTGGATTGGTGCTGGAATCAGGGCCTGGGTCCTAGTTTAGTCGAGCTCCCCCCAACACAAAAATAAACAGGCAAAGAGGCGATCTGGCCAGGTTCCCAAACTCCGGTGGTTCCCTGAACCCCCAGTCTTTAAAGAGGCACACCCCAAGACACCAGTCCTCAGTTCTGCCCTGGCGACTGGCTCCGGTTCCCTTGACAGACCCTGCCAACGGAACCCTCACCAGTGCTGGCACCCCCTTCTCCAACCTAAGGGCCAGCTCCGGCCAAGACAGTCCATCTGGCTGCGCCCCCAGTCCAACCCTTTCTGGGCCTTGGCCGGGCGGAGTTCACTCACCTCTTCACAGGGCGATCCAGAAATCCTCATCCGAGAACATGGCCAGAGCCCGGGCCGCTCCCCGACCTCCAACCGCCAGAGCGTTCACAGCCGCCCCCCGCACGGGGGGGCCTACGGGGGCCAAGAACGGTAAATCCAGGTCGGAGTGGCCACCCTCCCACCCCCCCAAAAAAAGCAAGAAGCCAAAGGAGGGTTCTCTGTCTTAGGTTCCAGCAGTTTAGGTTTCCATGGACAGCCCCAGGGCGGCGAATCCCGAGTGGACACAAAGAGAGCACCGGTGGCTTTGATCTTGGGCGAGCAACCTCCGCATCCGCGTCGCGGGGCGGCCTCTCAGTCCCAGGGCCCGGCCAGCGCCCCGGCTGCCCGCGCCGGGCTCGGGCAGAACGTCGAGGCTCTCCAGATGGAACGTCGAGGCGCCTCCCCAGCAGCCCGGAAGGAATGCCGCGCCGCCCCGCGCCGGGCCCGGATGGAACGTGAGACCCTCACAGGAGCGCCGAGCACCTCTCCCCGCCCGGGCCGGCGCCCCGGGGCCGCGCGAGCTAAGGCGACACGGAGCCGGCGGGGCCGCGGGGCTGAATCTGACACACACCCAGCGCCGGGTTCCTCGATTCCGAGCGCTCGCCCTTGGCGGCTTCGAGTCCCCCACCTTCTGCTCCCCCCGGGGAAGGGAGGAGGGTAGGTGGGCGAGGAAGAGGAAGGGGCGGGCGGTGCGAGCCCTCTGCCCGCTCCCCGCCGGCCGCTCCAGGCCCTGCGCTCGCCTCCCTTCCCCTTCTAGCTTCAGGAGCTGCCCCGCCCCCGGCCTGGCCGGCTCTGATCGGCGGCACCTCCTCGACCCCCAGCTGGCTATGATCGCGGGGGGCCTAGAGGTACATGGCCCAACCCCGGCTCCCGGCGCCTGGGGGTCAGGAAACTGAGCGGAAAGTGGGGAACGAGGCAGCCATTTGCAACCGGAGAGGAAAGTAGTGCAGCGCGGCGCCGCTACGCCTCCCCCCCCTCCGCCTCCTGTTCGGCCGGTAGGGTGGTTCCTGCGAAGGGGCTATTTCCTGGCCCGGGATCTCGGCAGCGGTCGTGGAGATTCGTGAAGACTCCGGCGCGAGATTCTGGGGGAGCCTTTTACCTGGGGAACCCTACTCGAGAAGGGGAGAAAGGAGAAGACGCGGCCCTATTTTGTGTTGGAGCGGAGCGGCGGAGGGATACGGCCCTCTCGGACGAAAGGCTGTGACTCTGCAGTTCTACGCACACGCTCCAGAATCCCTCCGCCACGAGTTAACCCCGACTGCGCCGGGCCGGCCGCTTTGCAGACACGTGGGAATGAAGCCCCCCTCCTCTCCGCGCTGGCCTTGGAACTGCCTCCTTTACTGCCCAGGCTGTTAAACTAGGACTCCTGCCACTTCCTAATTCCGTTTCCTTGGAGTCATCGGTCCCTGAAACTCCAACTCCTGTGCCTTATCCAGGGGCTATCTTTCCCGGGAGGGGGATGGAAGAAGAGCCAGGAGATTGGCCGCTGCTCTGCATCCTGGGAACTGGAGTCCACAAATGGAGAAAGTGAGGCACGGAGCCTGGTGCTGCAAAGGGTGGGTTCTTGCCACGTTCGGGGGCGCGAAGAAAGCCGGAACGAGTTCATAGTCGTTCCTTCTGGCTTCCAAACCCCCTTGTGAGAGGAAGAAGGACTGTCAGTGGCTCCACAAGTCACCACATACACCGCCCCATCAAAATATGAATGTAGAGCTTCCCTTTTCTGGAAGCCACCCCCCCCCC